AAGTGAGTGAACGCTCTCTGTGATTGATTAGTTCTGTCTTGCAACATTTGCGTGTCCAGATGAGCAGGAAAATAGTTCTATCCTACACAATTACTCGCTAACAAAGGTTATTCGTCCAATTCAATGCATATTGTACGAATTGTTTTTTTTGTTAAATTAACAAAATCACTGGTAAATAAAACACACCTTCGTATCGATATTTTTTGTTTGAGTATCGATACTCGCGGCAGTATCGATATATCGATACTTTGGATCGATACGCCCATCCCTAGTGGAAACCAGGAAAAACATTGTTCAATAAACACAAATCACCACCATTCACCATGGATTTAACATAGTAAAACTACAGGAACAACTTGTGGCAGAAATGGTCTAATGTTTTCGAGTGTTTTTAAATGCTTCACACAACTTTTACCAGCACTTCAAAGCTTTAAGTATTACCGAATTTGAAAGTTATAATGTGATGACATTATTTGTTCATCCTTCATAGGTTGCCCCATTTATAAAACTAAAAGTTTCATAATGTAGGAAAGCAAACACTTATTTAAAAATACATTAAATTATCACTAGTAGATGGCTGCAGAGAAGTACTTACAGGCTTATTAGCCATTTCCACTCCCTAATATATATTTGTTTCTATTTATTATATTATATTTAGACATTATGAATGACAGTAATAAAAGTTAATTTTATCTGCATCTCAACTACCCCAGACAGCACAAGTACATCTGTAAGACGTCTGCTAAAGATCTGGGAAACATCTGCTGTGTAATCTGATAAACATCTCCGAAGCAGTTTCACATGCATTCTAATAAATGCCAATTTGACATCTGACAGGAAACGTCTTAGAGACATATTGCAGATGAGCAAACACTCTAAAAAATACATCTTGCATATGTAAACGCAGACATCAAATAGACATCTCCGAGATGTACATGTGCGATTAGGGTGAGTGCTTTACTGTCAGGTGCTGGTGCCACCTTCTGTAGAATTTAACGGCACTGGTGCTGGTGTTTTCAAATGTTAGTCTGGAGCCCTACAATGGTTCTCGAAGTCAGAAAAGTCATAATGTTAGAAGAATGTTATCTGTGGTATATTTTCACTGCAAAACAATAAGAAATGCCGCAAATATCACCGCAAATTTTGAGAAAAGCCGCAGCAAAATCAGTCAATTTAGGCCGCAAAAATCAGAAAAAAGTCCCGCGAAATCCTGGAGGGACTGCCAAATAGACGAGAAATTAGGTTTGTAAACACACTCCCCATTTAAGCAGAGATATTGTCAAGTATTTAGTGTAATACAAACTCTACAGAGACTCTACAACAGTCATAAGAACCAGTAATACACTTCACAGAACTGAAGGGTACCATATAAATGTTATGCAGCATGAAACTAATGTAAGACTTTTTAAGTGTCATTAAATAATGCAAAATAAAGCGTAAGCATTTGAATAGAATAATAACCCCTTTATCTTATCTTTAAAATGTCTTGTGTCTCAAATGCAAGTGTCTATTTTCAACATGGTTGAAAATCACTTTGAAGTGCCAATAAGAACCCTACTAAATAGATTGAAAATTAATAAGGCAAACCATAAAGGCGTGAAATAAAATGCTGTTTTACAATCTTTAAGTAGTCTTCTCCAGGTAAAATGTCCTTTTAAGGACTCCATGTCTAAACCACTAGTTGCAGTGATGCATGGGGCAGCTGCTTATTATCCAGCACTAATGTTAGCCTCCGTTAGCTGATTAGCTTAGACATGAGCTTACAACAGTCCTGCATTTCCTGCATTTTACCGACTGAAGCCTCGCTGACAAACTAGACCCGAGTAATATTACGCTCGATATTATGAAAGGTCATTATGGAGTAACGTTATTGGCAGATAGATATGTGATGTTTATATGTGAGCAAGGACACATGAGTGACTCAGGTAGCGCTTAGCTTTTAGCTCGCGAGCTAACGGCTACAAGCTACCACAGTCATTCAGCTCTCCCTGCTGTTTATTAATAAAAACAGGCTCAATTCCCACAGCAACGCATTTTAGAGTCTTGAATATACTTACGTGGAGAGTTTCCGAGTCCAAAGTAAAACTCCGGGCCATAACTCACGGAGCTGGACAGCCCGACCCAAGTTCCCTTTAATCTGGGCCAAAATGTCATTGGATTCGCGGTGTAGTTTGTCTGCGTACGGGAGAAGTTTGTTATAGACGATCTCTTTCTGAGGGACAAAACCTAATATCTCGACCTGCTCCTTTTTCATATTACGATTTCCCCAAATAAATATCCTCTTCTGGTGTGTCCGGCTTATTTCCTTCCCCTCTTGACAGAAGTTCCCTTGACAAATCTTTGTTTTACTCAAAAAATCCGCTACTTTCGCATATGTGTCGGTATTGTGGAGCGGGTTTCAGATTAAAACTCGTTACTTCGACAAATCTCTGTCTTTCTGACCTCTGGTGTTAAACACATTCGCTTTAGTCGCCTACATAAAAAAGTCTCCCCTCACTATTTGACACATATTACGAGTCACACGGACAGACACACACATACACACACGCTCAGACTCACATTCATACATACACACCGGCGGGTGCAACAATGAGCCATGAGCGGCGCGCCCCCTACTGGTGTTCACCTGCACATTCAGCAATAACAGCAATGCTGTCAAACGGGAGGAGCATTGAGCTGCTGGCGGGTCCGTGAACATTTTCAAAAGCCTGAAAATAAAATAAAATAATTAATTTAAAATACACGTTAAAATATAAAGTAAACACTAAATGAATTAGTCATTTTTATACAGTTTCAAAGAGTAAAAAAAGCAAAATAATAAAAAAGAAAGATTTTTTTTTTTATGTTAAAATATACTTATCAAGTTAACATTAAATACATTTGTCATTTTAATGAACTTTCCAAAGTGTAAAATAAAACAATAAATAAATAAAAGTTAACACAAATTAATTTGTCATTTTAATACATTTTCTTAAGTGTAAAATAAAAGAAAACAATGAATAAAAGAATAAATAAATAAGTTAACACAAAATTAATTTGTTGTTTTAATACATTTTAAAAAGTGTAAAATAAAAGATTTAAGTAAATAAAAGTTAACACCAGATTAATTTGCCATTTTAATAATTTTTCAAAGGTGTAAAATATAATTAAATAAACAAAAGTTAACACCAAATAAATGCCAATTTATTTTAATTAATTTTCAATAACATCAAATATTTTATTGGCAACATTCACAAATAAAATAAAAGTTAACACTAAACATAGGAGCACAAATCATTTAAAAAGCACTAAAGTTTTTGAATGTCACTATAGTTATTTGGGAAAACCATCCCTTTTCTTGCTTTTTTCTAAAAAAGTATCCACAAAAATGCTGAGAACATCCGCATGATGTGAACTTTGTTTGCATATAGGGCCCTTCACTTTGTTTAAACGGTTTATCCGAGGCAATGATACTAACGAGATAACTTAAATCCGCTTTGGTTCTTTCCTTGTGTACTGACCCAGTGCGGAACAATTCACTTGACCTACTGTCACAGCAGAAAACAGGTAGAGTGTTCTGTGCAGTCACCCTTCAGCCGCTCTCATTCTGTTTGCTTAAGCATTTGAGTGAGCTCTCAGTTGTATAAAGATGTGTGCATTTCTGTAGCTCAATGGGTTTTTAGTCTAACAATTTAATTCAATTGTTCTCATGTTTCCTGTTGTGCTCAGCTCTCAGGTGATTTCCAGTTTCTCAGATATTTAATCTTCACGGAGACCGCAGGTCAACGCAAAATGAGCAGATTCATGGCAGAGAAAATGTAAGCACACCACATTCCCACAGCTCCTTGCTCGATAGGTTCCTCAAGGTCATTTATTACCTATCAACCACACACCCTATGTCTTTTCCGACCAATAGGAAATTCAGTACAGAAATTCCAGCCAATCAGATGCAGTGACCTTTTACCATTCAGCCAATCAAATCCCTTGCCTGGAGGGTTATAGCATTCCAGGTAAAGCAGATTTGTCTGCCCTGATCATGGGTACTGTTAATGAGATCCTGGATTAACCAGGCTCACTTGCCAGTCTCACAAATATGGTGCTATGTCAGTTGTAACAGAGAATAGAGCACCTGAATGACCTGTAATTGAATGCATATCATATAACAGAATATGACTATGACTAGTGTACAATGGTTGTACATTTGCATCCGAGTTGTTTTCTTAGATGTAGGCATGTCCTCAATCCTCAATCGGACAGACAGGAAGCGGCTTCTTGGCCATAAAACATTTTTAGCCCCGACTTTGATTGGATCATGTGATTTATAAATCCCACTTGACCTGACAAGATCAAAGCCCCAACTCCCGGTGTCCTAATTGTGCTTTTGTGGACTTATGGCAGTGCTCATTTGTTTTTGTAACTACTTCCAGTTTTTGTCATTTATCATTAGTATTCCTAATATAGGAACTGTGTTACAGGAAAGACAAGCTGTGGAGATTCAGGTGAAATTAAAAAGGCAATTTATTTATTTTTGTGAATCATGGTTCTATAGAGAAATATAGCAAGTTGAAGCAAAAAGAAATAGATGAGATAATAAAAAGGTATATTCAGATATTCTAATCTGTTTTCCTTATGATTGGACATTCTGGGACGATGCGATACTAATCGCTTTCACTTGTGGAGAAAGAGCGCCCTCTGCTGGTCTAATGTTTTTATTGATTTTTTTTTTTTTTTAATCTTTGAAATGGGTTATGACTATATAATTGGTACATTGAGAACATCAATATAAAACTGGAAAACAAGATTATCAAAATAATATATTTGTAGTACATATTGACTTGACTGTGGAAAACCACAGAGCCCCTACAAGGACATTATGATGGAAAAAATGAGATAGGAGGAAAAGTTTATTTAAACATTTGCGTTCCCCCCCCTAATTTTCATTATCTACATTATTCAGTGTTTATTTGCACCATTATTTATTTATATCACAAATAGGTCTTCAAAATGCAGACTAGCATCTGTCTTTATATAAACTGTACATGAAGGCAAGGCACTATACAATGCAGAATACACACACACACACACTGTATGGATTCTCAAACACTCTCCCATGCACACACAGACACATATACAGGGTTCTCGGGTTCAAGCATCTATCTGGAAGGTTTAAACACATCTTGAGGCCATTTATGACAGCAGGTATGAACATACTTACATAAAGAGCTCTTTTGAGCTTTCTTACAATTAGATAATGACTAAAAGGCATTTTTATTTATTAGGTCTTTATATAAAGCTGGGCAGTGCATGAGGGCTGCCTTGTGCATGTTGGACGGTGACTGGCTTCATGTGGACACAGCAATGCAGAACAATGGGAGGAAAAGATGCTGGGAAGCACTCAAAACATTCAACAACAAATAAAAAAACAAACAAATCTTGCTAATTCACTGATAAAAACAAAAAAGGAGAAAATGGGAGAAAAATGTGTTACAGGAGGCTGCTGAACCCCCTGCCCATCAGTGTCTTTCTTCTTCCTCCAGCTCCTTTTCACCTCCCTGTGTGGGTTGACACAGGTACATCTTCACTTGCGTTCACTAGTCCCTTTAAAACAGTCCTTTGGCTTTCTTCACATTCACTTGCTTCCATCCTGGCAGTGCCTCATACTCACTTCTTGTCATTTCCAATGCTTTCTGTAGAGAACATGCACACATATATAAGTTTAAGCATAAGGATTTAAAAGTGCATGCAGATGACATAGAAGTGTTCATCATACTCAAGACTCTGAGGTGCTGAACACAATGGATGAATGATCACACACACAAACACAAACACAAGAGCTGTAGGATATTGGTCATTGCCATTCATCAATCCAAAAATGTAAATAAGATTAAAGTACAAAGTATTTAAATTAGGGATGCACAATTTATCTGTACCATTATCTGCTTTTAGCTGATATTATATTTTTTTGTTTTTGTTTTTAATTTATAGGCCTCAGTCAATGTTGAATATTTAATTTCTCCCATTTTTACATTTAAATGACCTTTTCCATCATCTATCACTCAAAGTCAATAAAAACAATATTTTAAAAACACTGTTGAATCTAATCAAAATGAATATACATTTTTTTATACTGTACATCACGATGTTGTGATGCCAAAATTCACATGAAGCATTTAAAAAGATTGAGTTTTTTGTTTTGTTTAGATAAAAATGGCATAACATTTTGATCAGCCACTTATTGGTTATTGACCATAACATGAAAATAATTACTGGATTATTGGAATTTTACTATTAGCACATGCCTCGATTAAAGAAGACTACCATTCAACAGTTTGGGGTTAGTACGATTTCTTATGTTTTTGAAATAAAATAATATTATTCTTAAAAAAAAAAAAAAAAAAAAATTTGAATGACCCCAAACTTTTGAATAATAGTGTATATCCAAGAAAAATTCAACCCCACATGTGAGACCTAGAGTATCAGTGAGATAGTGGTGAACAGTGACCCACACGCTGCTAGATACAAGGCGGTTTGTGCCAATGCATGTGAGACACAAGCACATGGTGATGCAGTTCACACAGTGAGGATGCGGCATTAGTGGGAAAACACCAGTGTTCCTCATGAAACAAAACTCACCTTCCCAGAAGCCCCTACACCCTGGCATGTGAAGGGAAAAATGAACCTCATCAGACGCAAGACTACACCAGCAAAAAAGGGGAAAAGCAGAAAGATGCAGGGAGAGACAGGTTAAGAGAGGCCGCTTTAAGATGACATAGTGGGAGCAGAAGTAGAAACATGAAAGAGATGAAGGGGGAAAAAAGGCTAAATAAAAGTAGATAGTACTTAAAAGACGAAATATATGAGCACATTCAGGCAGACAGATGTTACAGAACAGATATACTTCAGTAATATTTCTGTCCAACGTCTCAAAATCATGCAATACTTTAAATTGTCCATAATTATAAAGTTAGGCTTTTTTTGCACAACTAATGAAACTTAAATACTACTGTAACAATTATCCTAGTAATCTTTTGAAACCTCAATGTTAATGTGATTTTTCTTACCTCAAAGTCCTCATCTGAAAGGTAGATCTCAAGACGTAGAGGGTCAACACCTTCTGGTAGTGGACGGGCTTGAAGATCAGCGAGTGGGTAAGTGGTCTTGCAGAGTCTAGTCAATACGTCTTCAACAAGAATGATCTGATTACATACTTCAGCCTCCTATAATCACAGAAAACAACATCTTTAAACCATTCTAACAACACAAAACAAACTTGGTATGTGCATTAAACTTTCTCTCTCACCTTCTCTGTGATCTCAGCAATATCCTCTCTGTGCTCCCAGCCAGGAAACATATTAGTGAATGTAAGAGGCTCAAGTCCTGCATGGATCAGGTATGATTTTGGAGTTTTTTTCTCATTTTTTTCTAAAAACAAAAGCAAAGCCATATTATTGTATGAATTTTTAATTGTTTTATTTAATATTGTCATTTTATTACAATAAAAAAATAAAAATTAAAAATTATACAATACAGCCCAGATTTGAACTTGCATCCCCATGAGCACAGCTTCGTGTGC